AATATCCAGGGCTATGGTACCTGTATTTGTGTTTTCTTGGGCTTCTTCTTCTGTCTTTGCTATTGTGGTAGTAGGGACAGGCATAACCCTGGCGACAGAGACGGGGAGGTTTCTTACATTGCTCCGTCTTGTAATTTCCCAACACATACGTTGTATCTGCAAAAGAAGCAACCAGTTAGTGGGAGATGACTGATCTGCATTTACTATACAGAGGTTTTTGACCGGAGCATGCACTTCACAAACACCAGACTTTCCCAGCCCCACAGACCCTAAGTGACACTCACCTTGCCACCTTGGCTCCTCACTGAGTATTTTCTCGATCATAGCATGGCTAGCAGCGACTGCAGACTGACCCTCTATGCCACCTTCCGACGTAGTCTGACCATTCTGCAAAGCCTCCATCGCCTGAAGCTCCCTTCATGGATAGAGTTAAATGAATATACAGACTGAGCAGATGAAGAGATGGATAAATGTGTACAAAAACTGACATACTAGAGAGTGGTAACAATTCCTAAGTGGGTGCATTTTATTCATGCATTTTTTTGTCAGAACATCTTCAGTCAAACAGCAACTGAAATTCATGTTCTTCATTCCCCAGTAATTCCCGATGCATTATTTGGACAACCCCACATCAGACTCCAAACCACAGCACAAGTAGTTTAAAGTGTGTGCCCCTCCATCATTTTGAGTATCCTCCCTGGAGATTTGCCTTTTTGAGAAGGGATATATCAGCATCACTCCAACACCAAGCATTTCACACTGAAGCGGTACTGTCCTTCAATCATCTGACTTTTCATTTAGGTACAGAAATTACCATTTTCATACAAAGCCTCAACCTCTACCAACCTGATGTCATACACCGGAGAGCGTAGGTCATGGGGCCCATGAGCGAACGCGCAGTGGACTCCATTCTTCGTGCAGTTTCCCTTGGAGTCTGTCTCATGAATGCAGATTCCAGTTTTGTAGTAGCGCAAGTGATACCTCCTCTCTGTGTCTCCAGTAGTCCTATGCAAGAAGGGGCACCTGAGGTACAGAAGGAGGGGAGGAACAGACAATTTTAGTCACACAGCTGATGGACTGAACACTACCAGAAGACATATTGCCAATACAGGCAATGCCGATACAGGGTGCTGCAGCTGACACCACCTTTCCTAACTCTGCCCCTTATGCTGTGCCTTCCAAAGCTACACAGAACCCCTAAACAGTATATAACAGTTTCCCTCCCCAAAAGGCAACTGGATTATTAAGCCAGCAGCAGCTTATTATTCTAGTCTAGTGACTGCCAGGGATCTGGAAAAGAACAAGGACGCTGTCAAGGCGTTCTGATATACTAGCCATGATTGAAGGGACATCACATGGCACATACCATTTCCTCAGCAGCCCATCTAGACATCATGCTGTTACTGTTGCCTGCTGATGTACTCCTACAGGGCTGCGACAGCCTATCTATAGCCAGATGCATCCTTAATGCACAGCATGGGACAAGAAAGGAGAATTACAACGCTACAATTTTAATTTATGTTTCGTTTCCCCTCTTTGGCAGAAAAAGAACAATCTACGCTCAGAAATAAAAAAAAAAAGAACAAGATGGAATAGGTAAAGTTCAGATATTGCAGCATCAAGCTAAAAATACAAGTCAGCGGAGTTCTGAGATGGCAACAGTTCTCATTCACTGAGTTTGAGCCAGATATGAACCAGGGATCTAGAAGCCAAAGCCCTCAAATATTCTATTTCCAGTCCCTTCCAGTTCTCGTCTAACAAGGAAGAAAGTATTGAAACTGAAGCTTCAGGCTGGGGAATTATTCCATTCTGCTGTAGTCACAAGGTCTTTACTTAATCGGGTAAAAAAAATATTGTTTTCCCAACAAATAGCATTTTTCTGTGTGTTTATACTGGCTCCATGAAAGGGAACTCAAATTCCATCTTTCTATAGCATGTCTATATAAAACACTCCTTATATTTGACCACAGTTTGGCTACACTATTTATTCTTCCATATCTGTCACGTGGCTGAAGTTCTATTACTGGGTTAACCCTTTAATTGCTGGAGTCTGCCACACGCACAGCAGAAACACTTGCATCTCTGCTCCAGGTAGATTTACCACAGTCAGAGAGACTCAATAAAACAAACTCTTCTCCATGCTGCCTTAGTCCGGGTACTTGTCATTTCCCTACTGGCTTCTTAAAAGTTCAGGAAGACAAAATAAACTTGCAAGTAACCGATACGATTTAAAAAGCTGGGGATAGATAATTTTGGGGGCAGACTAGAGGACAAAGCTCCTCCTCTTTCAGCAATCTGTTAAAACCTAAGCTACTCTGCTAGTGAGCAAGACCGATTATTTGACAGTCCGGGACTTACGGGAACAGCGGCTTTCTCAGTCCATTTGCCAGTGAGCTGTTTTTCCCACCTCAACCTTGCCGAAGACGCCATGAGGATAGTGAACGATGGAGGAGCTGAATTCCCATCTAAGTCACCCTTAATATCATCTCTGCCCCAGGCCTGGAGCACACAGGCTGCTATTACAGATTTTACATCTGTTCTCATGTTATGTGTGTTACAAAGCTGCTTTACTGCTGACTTGCCTCATCTCTGCAGGAACTGGCTGGAATCGTCACCTGGACTGATCCCAAAAGCCTAATGCCTGAAGAGCAGGGTGCAGTCTTTACTTACTCATCTCCTTCTGGGCAGATTCCTGTGGTCTCGTCATACTTGGTACAGTAAATGTCAGGGCTGTAGTTAAATGTACCATCCCGGCGGCGGATAGATCTGCGACGACGCTGGTTGACAAAGTGCCAGTGGAAGCAGGTGTAGGGCCGGTGCTGAGTGCATTTGTGCTGCACGAAAAGAGGGCACTGCTCCGTGCGGAACTCCTTCAGGTAACTGCAGGCAGAAATCCAACAGCAGGAGGTTAGGACCAGGATGCCGGTCAGAGGCAATACCCAATCACCCCGCAGAGCCCAGGCCAAGCGGAGCCGCATCCATCACAGAGACGCCTGCTGTCCTCTCCACACCCTCCCCTGCCTTCCCTCGCAATAATGGAGGCTGGAAGCTGCTGGTTGTCTGTAAGGGGAAGATATCAGTTACCAGGCCAGTTAATACAAACATCAATGCTAACAATAGCTGAAATCACTTTCTATTGTGCCTTTCCACATCATTTTCAAGAGAAGTGGCTTTTCATGAGCTTAGAAAATAGTTTGCGAGAAAATGGAACTCTTAAGTACCTTTCTATCCACGTCTATCTCTAAATCCGAGACCTATCTGGGCAAAAAGGGTTTCCTTCCTATATGTTCAGTTTAAAAAAAAACCCAAAACCACACTTCCTTGTAGCCATGTTTAAAGCTACAAGTTACTGAGAGAAAAAGATTTTTTAAAAGACTCTTTCATGCCCTGTCTTCTTGGTTTAACTCAGCTTCTTCAGTACACAGTTGACTATGAAATGAAAATTAATCAATTTCTCTCTTGCAATCTTGTGAATTCAGGACTCAGTCTTGAAAAGTGGGATAACTATCCTCAAATTCCTGCACGTTTGTGTTACTTTAATATGTAATTCTCTGAAAGTACGTGTCTTCTTTTAGCCCAAGAACTAAAGAAGTCACAAGCTTTTATTTGTGACACTAATAACAGTCTCTAAACCCAGATTGTAGAGGATTACAAAATGGTTTAGCTCAACATAATGATCTGACTGTGATCTGTGTGTAGGTGCTTACAAAATCCACGCCGCGCGAAACCCACTAGCTGCCCTGTATTTATAAGGAACGTACGAACAGTTCAAGCAGCTCAGACCCGAATCCCACTGGGTTCGGTCTCAGAGACACCTCCAAGAACACCAGCGACAGCCCCGAGCAAGCGGACGGGGGTAATCGCCTCCCGTAACAACTCACATGCTGGTCTCTGACATTTAGAGGGCAGATTAAGCAGCGAGTAACAAAATTTGTCGGTGAAACTAAAAGTGCTGGTTTTCTGCTGGAAGCAAGAGGATGATCCAACAGCAGATACGGACTCGTTTTAAACTGCATATGTACTCCGAGCCAACAAAACGGAGTACAGGAATTTGTCGAGTATTCATTCCCATATCAGACGATCTTAATCTTTCTATCGTGTTTCTAAATAAATGGAAAGATGTCTGATGCCCAAAGAACTATCCACAGATAATATCATCATGTCAGACTCATTCTGAAAGCAACATCTGTAAATAAAGCCTCCTTTCCTCTTTACCCCTGACTGAAGAGAGTGCCTCAGGAAAATGCACAAATTCAACCAAAGTGGTTTTATTTGTTTGCTATGAAGAGAGAATATCACCAGCAAGAGCTTTCCTACACCGGATTTTGCAAGCATGAAAGGATAAAAGCTCTTCCTCCTCTTCAGCCTCCAAATAGGCGACACTTGCAGGTTCCACTGCTTCGGATCAGGGAACGCTCGGGGCTGGAGCGGCTCTGCGGCCGGCTGGAAGTCCTTTCCAACCCCAGCCCATCTGTCCCCTCCAACCCAGTGCGGCTGGAACGGTATCTGCATTGGGGCCCAAGGCTTTACATCAGAAAAACCCGAGCCAGCGTGCAGAAACAGGTCTGTTTGGAGTAGGTGAGGGCTAACAAATCACTTTGTTCCTTTTTCACTTTTAAGAAGCCGGCTCCATTCACATGGAGATCCCTACTCCAACTACAGCAGCAATTCATCCGAAAACTGAATGCCGCAATAAAATTAATCCATTCTTGAAAAGCTTTCTAAGCTGTCGGGCCAAGTACAGTTGTAAAAGGTGGAATTCCACAGATTATTTTATCTTATCAGCACACTAATAAGAGTTAGAACAAAAGTGACTGTAACAACATTTAGGTAAGAAAGTGAATTAAGTAAACTGAAGCAACACGATACTTAGACTGTCCAGAGATACTACATGGTCCCCAACCAGACCCTTCCACCCATCCATCTCCACGCACACCTCAGAGACATGAGGTTTACATTACTCCCATTTCACATATGGAGAAACTGCGAAACAGCTGGCTATGTGCCCTGGCCAGTATCGCACAGCAATCGGAGTCGGCAACGGAAACCAAGGGCATTTAAACTCCTCCATCTTCACTGAAGGGAGTCCTGGGCTTACTCTGAAGAACAGCAGCCTGAACCTCTTCAACGCGCTGGAAGCTAAGGGGAGGTATAGGGCCTACACAAGCCCAGCACCCAGACTTGTAGCGATAGGCATGTACGAAACACTGTTAAAAACCCTGAAATTTAACAACTGCATGATCAACCGAGTTGAAACAGCTTCCCTTTAGCAGGAGAGTTTAAAAATGTACACACTGACTAGGGATTTCGGTCTCTAGAGCGTCAATTGTTGCTGAAGAGCATTTGAAAATTAATTGCATTTCATGATTGGCTAAACTCCCTGGAGAAACATTTATTATAATGTAAATGCGTGATAATTACATAAGTAAATGGTTCACCTGAAAAGTGTTTAACACCTAACTTGCTTCATCAGAAACTCATTCTTTAATGCTGTCTATTAAATAAATGATCTCTCACTCTTAATTTCAAAGCAAGTCCTGCAAACAGGTACCACTGAGCTCCACACGACACATTAACTGTGCATGATCACCTCCGCAATAGACCCAACAGAGGGAAAGGAGAGTTGTCACATTAACTCAGTCATTTCAAGCCTTTCAATCACTGCTTTGGGTTTTTCTTTTTTTCAAGCCACTACAACATTTTAAATCACTCTCCTCCACAACAGCCTGAATGGTAAATTGCTTTATAGCCCTTTATTTTCTTGATCCATGAAGCGAGTTTTGGCTCCTCTGGGAGAATATGGACCACTCAACCAGCCACTTTGTATTAAAATATATGAAAGGCATCTAAACCACAAGTGTTTTGGGAACACAGAAAGGATACACAGACCGCACTACCGCAATGTGATGGCTCACAAAGCAGAAAGCTATTAATATTTCAGTAGCCTCTTTGCAAAGGCTCTAAACAGAAACACAGAAAACACTGTCATGACACATTCTTCTGGTGTCAATGGTCTCCATAATTTCTTTTTTTCCAGAACAGCTGAGAAAAGGAATTTTTGAACGACCCTTGAAACTGAAAACATGTTGATAACCGGTACACATTTCACAGCGTGTCAGCCGAACGCTCTGTCTGTACAGGAAGAGGAAATCCAGCAACGATAACTCGCATTTCTCAACTGCTCTCTAAAGATCTCAGGAAACTCTACAGCCCCCACATGAGGGGTAGAAGAACTACTGCCCCCATTTTATATAGCAGTTACTTCTCTATTTTATTTTATTTTTTTAAAAAGAAGTGAAACTAATCAGTTCTGTGTTTGTGTACTTTACACGCACTTTTGTCCGTGTGTATATGTCGTATTTTTGAATGCATATAATTTTTTTAAAAAGTTGAAAGCACATAGCGTGGTTGTCCTCTGATACTACATTAACATCAACAGCAACACCCGCATTCCTGAAGGAAATGTTATCATTTATGAGTTCTACTAAACAAAGACAAATGCAATTCTAAACAAATAGGACTAGACGGGCCAGAACAATGTAGATCAAAGTCCCCAGGATGAATTGAACTTGCTGTTGAACAGGATGGACGCTACTGGAAATGAAAGCTTATTTCACTAGGAAGACAAGAGGAGAGGTTCTTAGACTAGCTTCGGGAACTCCCAGAGACTGACAGCAGCTGCAAAGCATTAGAAAAAACCCAATGCTACTTCACTGAAACTCCACTTCCTCTTGGGTGGGATGTGGGAAGGGGCAGTAATTACTGTCCACTCGATTTTACGCTAGCGCAGGAACTGCTAACTGTCTTTAATTGCCAGTAGCAGTTCTACTCTCCAGGGCAGGGCAGCAAGCGTTTACATCTGCAGCTAGTAATTGCAGCTAGTTCCCCCTCTGCCCTGGAGGAATCCAGCAGCGACCTGCTTTGGGAGCTGCAGGGCAAGAGATGAGAGGGTTTGGGGAAAAAAAGAGGGAACAAAAAAAACCAACCAACCAAAAAAATGTACTTCCAAACACCACCACCAAAAAAAAAAAAACCCAACCTCAAACCTAGAAAGAACGAGGTGAGGGGGAAAAAAGAAGAAAAAAAAAAGAAACAAAGAAACTTTAACCTAGAAACTTCATTTTTAAACTCCACAATTGCAGCCTTGTCCTGGTCACATTCATTGCCCGCTGCTGCGGAGATCTCTTGCTTTGCTGCAGCTTTACTGGTTTGGCTCTGTTCATACCCAGTGCTCCCCGGCAGCTCAGTGCGGGAGGATACCTGCATCCATACCACGTTCCAGGGCTGCAAACTTCCTGCCAAACTTGACACAAGTCACGCATGCAGCAGCGTGAGCTCAATTCAGGAGAATGTGCTGGTAATGCACGAAGACAGCCGAGCTCTAAATTCCTCATTAAAAGCCTTACCCAAAGCTCCCTGAAATCACTGGAAGATGCACACCGACACCAAGAGAGAAGTCTCTGCTTTGTAACAGAGGGATCGGGAAGACTGGGGGGAGAAACAATACTGAGGAGCAATGAAACGAAAAGATTAAAACCAACTCTCCCAAACCCTTGTTGTTCCCATAACGCAAAGCCAGGTCCTCCTTTGCTTCCGACACCCCCTGCGCCATTTAAGTCTTTATGTAGGCCCCAAGACGGGCTCCTCTCCTTTGCAGCCTTCCTTGCTCCTCCCAGTCAATCCCCTTTCTGCAAAAAATTCCTTTCGGGCCCATAGAGAGCGCAGAGGCTCATAAACAGGATCCGAATCTTCTGCAGCAGTACGACATCAGAGAAAACCATTAGATAATTGTTTGGCTAATCCAGACTCAGTCACTGTCTGTAAATGTAGGACAATAGTGAGATCTAACACCACTGTGATCTAGATTTTGCATACAGGTGGGTGTGTGTTTACACCCATGAAACTATGCTACAGCACCCTTAGCAAAGGTCTGCGTTAAGTGACTGGTACCAGTGCTGTTTATCTGGCGTTAGACCAGTGCAAACTGCAGGCATCTTTTACCCGAGCGGGCAGGTCCACGCTCAAAAGCACTGGCCACTGCCAAAGGGGCTCCAGCCCTGCAGCTTCTCCTTGGTCGCAAGAAACTCACCCCGAGAAAGCAGCCCAGAGCATATCCAGGCAGTGCAGGCTCTGGTTGTTTCTGTGAAGTCCAGCCTGGTGTGGACACTTCACTTTTTTATTAGCACTAATATTAGGAATTACTAGTTCCGGGCTGTATAAAGATTCTTAGTACTAGCCGGTGTCCAAAAGAGCCCACAAAGGCAAATCTAACCAAGAAATCTACAAATACAGTGTTTGGTTGTTTGGTGTTTTTTTTTATTTTAAATCACAGCTTAAGTTCCTGATAAGATTTCAGATATCAGGAAGAAAATGCTCTTCTGCCATTACCATTTATTTGAGTCCTGTCTGTCTTCTCTCAGCAGAGTGTCACACTGGCAAAGATACAATTTCATCAGCAGAAAAGTACATGGGACCACTGGGGACTTTCGCTGGCACTTTCATAACTGTCATGTCCTGCTGTTTCAGGCTGGACTGCATGAGGCCACAGACCTCTTCGTAAAGTTTCAGGTGGTCCCAGTTCACCTCACTCGTAGACAGACATCCTTCCTGAATATTGCAGTTTGAATGACAGAGGTCACTGCTCTCAGCTGCTCATCAGCTTTCCTTAGCTGGAAGCTCCTATTGGCACTGATCTGTCCAGACTAGAGAAAGTTCTCCTAATTCAATTTGGGTGAAAAAGAAAAAAAATAAATTAAGAAATCATCAGCTTAGCTTTAAGTTTTAAATTAGTGTTTTGAGCCAACACAGATAAAATTATCTGAAGTAAACAAGGGTGTGCTTACCCAACAGACTGTCTGCAAAGCAGGCAGCATTGCAAAACCCAGGAGAAAATATCTAACTGTAGATATAGATGTTTCTAATTCAATAATGCTTATCTATTGAAAATATTTTCAAAACTGCTATTTTCTTCTTAAGCTCAAAGAGCCACCCCAACACAAGCGGAAAAGAGCTGCCCATATTTAATCAGCACTCTAAATTCATTTCACCCTCATAAAATTTTATTGCAAAAGATGATATCAGACACACTTTAAGTAAGAAACCCATGACTCAATTATTTTCTTTTACTGAACTGTGGTATTCCAATTGAAATGAGTCAGTGGTGCATGACACAATCTACTTATTCCAACAGGATACTCAATAAAAATCCTACTACTAATGCACCTTTCGTTTAACATATCATTACTGATAGAGAAAACCCATGATATACAGGTCTGACATTGCTCAGGAGCCTTCCCTCTTAGGGAAAAGAAGATATTCCAGAGTAAGAAGGAGAAAAAAAAAATAAATAATGAGGATTTAAAGAATAGTGTCATTCCAAAATAATTAGTCCGAAATGGATATTCTGGAACAGCTATTCAATTTCTCCACATTGGCAATTCCCTATAACACCTTTACACATCTCTTAGCAAATCAACAGGGCTACTACAAGGCTTGGCTTTTTAAGGAATCTCTCAGCGTAGCAAGGAGTTTGGCGGGTTGCCTACCTTGGGGCTTTTATTGCTTCCAGTCACCACGGTCCCTTTTGGAGAAAGAGTTTGATACCAGCATTCCCATGGCATCTTATAAAACGCTGGCATTTCAACGCAAAGCAAGCTTCCCGACATAGCCTTCGATTACCAAGATTTCTTGGTATTTGAGAGAAGAAAAAATGAAAGAAGCAATTTAACTTCATAGGAGTTGTAGTACCTTGTTCCCAGGAGTGGGCACAAGGCAACCAAACCCCTGGCTGACAGCCGCAGAGTACCAGCAGCCTGGTTTACAGCCTGCCTAAACCTCTGCAAGGAAGTGTTTAGCATCATGTTAATAAGAGCAGTAGTTAGGACAAGGCTGTTTCAACAAACAATATATTTTACTCACTGGCAGATGTCATCTAATATTGAAACAGAGACTCACACAATCACTGCTGAATCTCAAACAATAACAAACACTTTTAGCAACAATCTTGAAGGTTTTCATCATGATTTCAGTAAAAGTTCTGACCAGGTTCTATGAGTAATATTTATTAGTTACTGTGGCTCACCACTACTGGATATTTCCCCATTTTCCATATGTAGTGGTATTTTCCTAAATAACCTCACAGATCCGACC